CTCCTTGCAGTTTAAGAACTGAGCCTCCCAAAACATAGTATCTCCCAGAGTTCACTGTAAGGCTGTGTAGCCCTACACTACTCCTTACTCAAAAGTTGTGGCTACATGCTACAGTCTAACTCAGTGGAGGCTAAAGCGTGACATAAAATTAATTTTACTCAATTAAGATTGCTTTCTAGAGACCAGTTTTGTCTGAAACAAGCAGATCTATATTTTCTGGGGTTAAAAGGGATTAAAGGAATTTAAAGCATAAAATTACTATTCAGAAATACTTGGTAATGCAGATTCCTCCATCCTTCTGAAGCAGCTTCTATGTTAGGACCTTAAGACTATTCCTATTGATACCAATGGCAAAACTCTTTTTGAATTCAGATGAACTAGGGTCAGAGCCTTGTGATACACTCTTGATTTATGTCACAATGAAAGGAGAGGACACCATTATGGTATTATGGGTGACCTTTTCCCTGACAAACAAAGCCAAACATTATTTAAACTGTAATTTTTTAACTGTCAGCATTGTGAAAACTTTTTCATTGCTCTGGACAAGGAGTGCTAGAAAATGTGAAAATTCAGCACATTACCAAGATTTCTCAGTTCACTTGTTTCCAGGCTGGAGTGAGGTTTTGTTTTTACAGAACTGATCACTTATTTGTCTCATACTTCTTCAATTAACTTTCTGTACTCCTATACAGTATACAGAACATCTTAATTACAAGACTTTAAGTCATGCATTTTTCCAGTACTTTTAGGGGGAAAATGAACACCAAATGGCAATTTATTAAAACTTGATGTTAGACCCTTAGCGAATAACCAGTTTCTCTACATAATAACGTTTCTCTGTGGTTTGTGTTATTTTGTAGTTTGCATTTCAGGAATTTGTACTCATTGCTTATTCTTATAGTTTAGATGACAATTCACTCCTGAGGCAACCAATATTTAGATTTATTCCAGAAAGTCGTTAATATTGAATTTGAAGTGGTATTGGTTTATGCAATTTATATTTGACTTTAAACATGATTATGTTCGTGTATTTGAGCAAGTTGAATATTTATGTGTTTTACTAACTTTTCTTACTAAACTGCCTAGATACAGTTGGTTTTAGGGAGCTAAAATTAAATGCATTATTGTTTTAGTTGCTATTTTATCCTTAATAAGAAAGTTCATATAAACTTCTATGTACTTTAAAAAGTATGTGTTTTCTTTCATATAAACTGATGCATGCCTAAATCACAGTGAATCTCAAAAGGTCACTGTCACTTGTTTAGTCCCCCAAATTTGCTTTAGAAAAAGGTAAATTCACCATGCTATTCATCCAGATAAGGCATAGTTTTAACAAAATAACCTAGAAATGCAAAGCTCTATATCCTACTGCAATTACCTAAGATGAATAATTTACTGGGTTAAAGTGAAATCACACTTTGATTTTAAAAGAAGAGAAAGAACTATTACTTAAAAGCAACACCATACGCCCCAGAATTCCCTGGAAGGATGGGGTATCCATTATAAGTTTCTGTCCACTTGCCGGCCGAGTGTATTGGTGTTCTTCTTTCTGTGATGGCAGAGGCTTTGCTGGCTGCCTATGTTCTCTTTGGCACTGGCAAGCTCACAGCCTGTTCCCTTCCCATCGGTACCCGTAGCTGAGTGGAGTTCTCTCTTTTTAACTCCTCTCCAACCCCCGCATGATTTGCAGATGCAGAAGAGTAGGGTCACACTAAACTAAAGCAGCTCTTTAACCCCCATGTATGCTGCTGTAGTGTCTGTCCAACCCATCATGGCAACCAGTCTTCATTTGGGGTGTGTCTAGACTACAGGGTTTTGTCGACAAAACTATACCTGCGTCCACACTGCCTTTGAGTTATGTCGACAGAACGTCGACAAAACTCAGCAGTTTTGTCGATGTATGTCAACCTCATTCTACGAGGAATAACGCCTTTTATCGACAGAGTTCTGTCGACAGAAGGCATTATTGCATCTACACTGTCCTTTGCGTCCACACTGTTATGTCGACAAAGCGGCTTGCTTTGTCGACAGAACTGGATGTAGTCTAGACGCTCTTTGTCAACAGAAGATTTGTCGACAGTATCTGTCAACAAAACTTCTGTCAACAAAACCCTGTAGTCTAGACATACCCTTGAAGACATCAAGAGATGGAGAATCCATCCCTTTCTTTGGCAGGTTGTTCCAATGGTTAGTCATGTTCACTGTTACATTTTTTTCTTTATTTCTAATTTGAATTTGTCTGGTTTAACTGCCAGCCATTGGTACTTGTTGCATCTTTCTCTATTAGACTGAAGAACGATACAGTACCTGGTGTTTTCTCCACATGAAGGTACCAGTGCATGGTACTCCAGTCACTTTTAACTCTTCTTTTTTTGATAAAATGAACAGACTGAGCTCTTTAAGACTCTCATTATCAGATGATTTCTCCAGCAATTTGTAAGGCTTGGTTCTACCAGTTTCTCAACATTCTTTTAAAAATGCAAGCATCTGGAGGACAATGTATTCCAGGGGTCTCCAACTCCCAACCCATGGGCCATCTACAGGCCAGAGTATATTTGCAATCCACTCCGGAAGGCCACCCCCTCCTTTGACACGTCCCAACCCTGTTCTGCCCCTTCATTCTTCCATTGCATCCCTTCCCCACATGATATAAGCTGGGGGCCTACTGGGGAGCCTGGCATGGGGCTACAGCGAGTTCAGGTCCTCCCCACAGTCACCACGGTGATAAGAGCCGGAGTGACCCAGCAACCTGCTCTTCTCTGCCTCATCGCCCATCTCTCAGTCCGCTGCCCTCTGCTTCAGCACCCCAGTCCCAGTTCAGCAGAGCACCCCAGTCCCAGCCCTGGCCTCAGCCCACTCCCCTGAGCAATTCAGGGCTTGGGGGAGTGGGCTGCGATCAGGGCTGGGGTATTACACTTCCTGCCACCATGGTAAGCAGAGCACACTGGGCTGGGAGGGCGGCAGAGTGGAGCAGGCTGCTGGGTAGCGCTGGCTCCTGCAACCATGCTGAGTGTGAGGAGTGCTCCCTGCTGCCACCCCATGCCAGCCCCCCTCTGCTCTGTAATCCTCTGGGTTGCTCAGGGCCCCACAGCTAACATGGGGGGACTGTTCCATCCAAAGGATGGTTAAAGAAGCCACCGCAGGGCATCAAGCGTCCGCCCAGAGCTCTCCTATGCCTGTATCTGAGCATCACTCCCCACAGTTAGACAGGTCTCAATCCCTTTAATGCTTTATCCATAGTGCACATTTTTAAAATTAGAATGTCATGCAGTACTAACTGAAAGCTCACCTCATAATCTACCACCCCCATCCTTCGAATTATCTCGAAGGGTCCTTGCCATTGCGCTAATGATTTCGATTCTTTCATGGGCAACAGGAGGAGCACCCAATATCCGGGTTTAAACTTTCTCAACTTCACCTCCCGATTATAATAATAAGCCTGTCTATTCTGGGCCTGTAGCAGGTTGGCCTTAGCAAATTCTCCTAATCGCTGCAGCTTTTCACACAATCAGAGGACATATGGTACTGACCCCTGCACCAGTAACTCCTGTTCTTCCCAGGCCTCCCTGACCAAGTCCAAGATTCCCCTAGGCTGTCTCCCATATAGGAGCTCAAAAGGGGAGAACCCCATGGACGACCGCAGCACCTCCCTCACCGCGAACAGCAAGGCCGGTAACAGCTTATCTCACTCTTAGGGCATGTCTACAGTAGCCCCCTAGTTCCACGAGGTATCACAGTTAACTCGAACTAAGGACTTAGTTCAAGTTAACGTTTGACTGCCGCATGTAGCCAGGGGCAGTTAGTTCAGAAAAGGGGGATATAAAAATGGCGCCCGGATGGGAAGATGCAAATAAAGCCCGGGATATTTAAACCCCGGGCTTCATTTGCAACTTTGAATGCCTACATTAGCCTCCCTAGTTCGAACTAGGGGGCTAGTGTAGACATACCCTTAGGGATCGTCCTCTGTGAAGCAGTGGAGCATGTTCTTAAGAGTCCGGTTAAATCACTCCACTAACCCATCCGTCTGTGGATGGTACACGGACATGCATATAGTCTTAATGTTGAGTAATCTGCACAATTCAGCTATTAGCGTGGAGGACACATTTGTCCCCTGGTCTGTAAATATTTCCCTAGGTATCCCGACTCGAGCGAAGATTTTAACTAGCTTGGTGGCTATAGCAGGAGCTGTAGTGTTCTTCAAGGTATCGGGTGGCATAGTCCACCAGGACAAGGGTATACTGATACCCTACCTTAGACTGCTTCAGGGGTCCCACTTGCTCTGTCACCACCGGATCAAAGGGAACCCCTATCAATGGTAATGGGACCAATGGGGCTTTGGGCCCCGTCCGACACTGGGTTCGCTAACACTCGGGGCACGAACTACAAAAATCCTGCACCTCCTTATGCACCCCAGGCTACAAAACCTTTGAGTGATACACTGGAGGGTTTTCTCCCTCCCCAGGTGGCTGGCCCAGGGGTTAGCATGGGCCAACTTCAAAACTTGCCTCCGATAACAAGTCGGTACTAGCAACTGCCGTAAGAGCCCTTGCCCCCCCTGCTTCCTGTCACCCTATATAACCGGTCCCCCTGTACCTCAAAGTAGGGGCCTTGGGCCCATCGCCTCCCCTTGTCCTGGTCTCCTCCACCACCTCTGGCCTGTTCCCAGACCCTCATCAGGGAAGGGTCTCTTCTTTGTTCCTGAAGGAAGTATTTCCCCGCCATCCAGCTCGTGATGTCATCTTCAACCAGATCGGGTTCCTTGCGCTGGCTCGTGGGTATGGATTGGTCTGCCCTCAGCGGTCTTTCTGCTGGCACTTCCTGGGTTACCAAGATACTTTCCCGCTTCCAGGTGCCAGGCCCGTAGGGGCTGTGTTGGCTCCAGGCTTTCACCGCCCACTGGAACCCGGGCCAATCTCGCCCCAGCAGCACAGGGTATCCTAACTTTGGGGCCAAGGCTACCTGGCA